TTAAATATCTCAAAATATATTAAGCATACAAATAAAAAAATGTTCGAGACAAAGTTGTTCAAATTAATTGGTAAAAAAAGATGATATAATAAAAAAGTTAAATTTTTATTTAAGAAAATTGATAATCAGTAAATATAAATCGAAAATGGGCCATCTATAAACAAAATGCTATCGCTGTCCTACGTCCCCCTTCAAGCTAAACAACTTTTGTCTTAAGCATTTTTCGATTTAACGCAGTGTTTCTGAGATATTTGAGTGGGTCCTTTAAAATGGGACACTCTGTATATATATATATATTTATTTATTAATTTATTTATTAACATCGCAGAAAGTAGTCGGATGAAAAAAATATTTTAGACGAAATTTGACAGCGACACCATAAGACAGCAATGTCATTTTGTTTACAGATGGCTTTGGCCACTTTCGAGATATATTCACTGATCGTCACTTTTCTTAAATGGAAACCCAATTTTTTATTATATCATTTTTTTCCACCAATTACTTTGGACAACTTAACATCTGAAACATTTTTTTACTTGCCCAATATTTTTTGAAAAAAACGTGATAGCATTTTCAAGATTTTGTTTACGATATCTCGATAACTATTTGTCGGAAGAAAAGTGATACTAGACTTCTTTACTCTATTTGATCTCAAGAATATACTGTTACAGCAGTTAACCTCAACCTTTGTTAACTTGATGATTCTGAAATTTCCAAAGGTCAACAAGTTATCAGATGAAATGTCACCTGCTTCTAATTACCTTTCGAAGAAAACACGGGCAAAAGTATTTTTCTTTCTCTTACTTTTCTTTGACATCCATTGGAACTATAAAATGTATCCGCTTCGTGGTTCTAACTTTATGATACAAATATCAATCGTGAACACGTGACCTAGTCGAAGATAATTTATCTCGACCTTCTGGAATCTCTCTCTCTCTCTCTCTCTCTCTCTCTCTCTCTCTCTCTCTCTCTCTTTCTGTAATCAGCGATCTTCGAGAATTAATACATCAGTCTTGTTACATAAACGCGTGACTGTGATTGTACAACCAAGTTTGTCGCTTGGATATTAAGGTAGAGCCTAACCAAAGTTCTGCTAATTGGAGTCTCGTTTTGCCAAGAGGAGTCTTGGCTCGCCCGGATGGGAGGCTCGTGGCTCTACTATTAGACCTATTTTCCATTGTCGAGTGCAGTCAACGAGGACGACGACGACGACGACGACGACGATGAGGAGGAGGTGGAGGTGGAGGTGGAGGTCCACTGCAACGAGCTCTCTCCATCGACGCATTGATGCGATATCGCGTAGGTTCTTGACCGCGTTTCTTATGCAACGGTGATTTTTTTTCGGGACCCAGGGTCGCCTTCCAATTAGACATCGATATGTAATTATAGACTCGCGTATAATTAGGGGCGGGCTCGCCGGCCTAAGAATACATCGATTTCTGTCACTGCGCATTAGCCGCGGGCTCGCCGCGCCGCGTTTAAACGTCCCGCGCGGATCCCGACGGTAAATTATAAATCGCCCGTAATGAGTCCGCGCCGCTCAAGACCGTTATGTGCTTACAGTTACTTCTCTTCGTGGCTAGTAACGATATTCTTTTTGCCGATCGAGAGCAATTCTCCCGCGTAATCCACTTTGGCCGGTGTCTCGCGCACCGAAAAAAGTACGACACACACATACACAATATTGGATAAAATAAAGCACCTCGAATATTTTCACGCTTGCGTGAATAACTTGGCACTCTTGACAGACAGGAAAGAAATGTATTCGGACAAAAAGGGAAGTTTCTTAGTCTACTTTTAAGTTTTAAGTGAAAAATTCCAACAACGTAAAAAATCCTTCAGTAGTCAAATCCGTTACACTTATTGTCATATTTACTTTGGGCAAACTAAAGTACGCGCTGGAACGTTGATGATAAATGTAACGGACTCTTGATTATTGAAGGAATTTTAATGTCTTCGGAATTTTTTTACTTAAAATTAAAAAAGTAGACTACGAAACCTTCTTTTTGTCTCTTCGAATACATTTCTTTACTATCCGTCAAGATTACTGAATTATTTGTGCAAATATGGAAATGTACGTGGTGCATATTTTATTTTGTCCTGTACTGTACACACACACACACAAGATATTTAAAAGAAGGGTTCGGTCGGAGTTATGAACAATTTATTTTAATTAAAACAAGGATTACCCGCTTCTGTTCTATTTCATACATGGCTTCTGGCCATGTATGAAATGTATTTCTTGATTACAGTAATACGATATCATTCTTATCGTATTGTGTAAACTTTGTTGACAGCTCTCTGCAACTGTTCACTATTTGCTTATGAGGATACATAACGAACAATTGCTCGATGAAACGTGTATATAAATGCGAAGAGGATATATGATTATTTACATTTCACGCAAAAGCGAAGAGACTTTTTAGAAATTCCTCTAAAGCACAGTACTCTTAGCCGATAAATGATCTGGACAAATTATATCAGAATCAAAGAAGAATAGAAGCGAATAGATCACTTGCTTCAATTAAAATAAATCATTATTTATAATTCCGACAACATTAATTTTTCGACTCACGTTTTTCGGGTGTTTTCTCCTCTATTTTGCAAGTATTATCTACCCCCTAAAATCTTAAATTTTTTTTTTAACACACAGAAGAAGAAGAGAGTTTCGCGTATCCGCAAATAATACTCGTTATACTGATTAAAAAGTAAACACGATTTGGAAGATCAGTCCTTTCAGAGTTACAGGTGTTTTTTTCAGTCGTGCAAATGCAAATTTCACAAACGAGTCAAACCGAAAGCGTTTTCTTTCTCTTAATAGTCTACACATTTCTCCGAGTTTTCGCGAAACGGTCGCCGAGGCGAGCGAGCGAGCGAGCGAGCGCGTTGACGACGGCGCGGCAGGTATTAGCATGCGCGCGTCATCGTGCCACATTCGCAGCCAGGCGAATCTATCGGGCTCCATTGTCCGACGTTAACGAGACGAGCTTTAATTATTCCCACATTGTTTCGCAAAGCCGTCGTCCGGCCGTCCGATTATTTCTGACGCGTCGCTCGCTCGTACGTTGCGCATTATTTACACGCGACACGCGCGCCGCGCGCCGTCGATATCTTTCTCTCGCCGCTCCGCTCGCGTCGCTTCGCTGGCCTGATTCCGTTCGCCCGCGCGAAAAGTCCATTCATTATTCACCCGTATGTCTCTCGAGGATCGCCTTCTTCCCAAATCGACCGCATCACGATCCGGATTGTCCTCGCGAGGGAAAGCGCGCGAGTGGACGAGCTCCGCGGAAGAGCGCGCGCGAGGATTGCGAAAACGTCGCGGGGAGATAAAGCGTCGTCGTATCTCTCCGTCCGGCGGTTAAATATAGAAAACATTCTCCGCCATCTCGGTAGATCCTGTTAACGAAGGGACCGCCGCGCGATGAATGGGAGCGCGGACCTCGCCAGAATCGTAATCGCTCTCGCGGCGTTGCTTCATCATCGGCGCGCTTATCGTCGCCGCTTATCGTCGCCGCTCACGGCGATGCGCATCCGCACACGTGTATCATCCAGTACTAAGAGAGGCAGAGAGAGAGAGAGAGAGAGAGAGAGAGAGAGAGAGAGAGAGAGAGAGAGAGAGAGAGAGAGAGAGAGAGAGAGAGAGAGAGAGAGAGAGAGAGAGAGAGAGAGACCACTTGGTGCCGGCAGCTACCCACGCCAAATGCTTTGTCTCCGATTACTGAATCGCGCGCGTGTGTTTGTTTAGTCTCTGCGAGTCGATGGGAAAGGATACGAACACGAGGAGGAGGCTCACGGTGGGCGAAAATGGGCGCGACTCTCTTTCTCCGGCGCGCAGCGAAAAGATGCTGCATTATTATCGGCCGGAATATCGAGATAATTGAACGACGAGGCGCGCGCGTGTGAGAAAATAGAAGGAGAGGGGAAGGGGACGGGGTGGGGACGTCGGGTAATTACGTTTTATTTGCACTTTGCGAAGACCCACAACGAAGCAGCAAGAGGTTGCGGTTCAGCAGATTGATAATTGCTCCTTCGAGCGAGAGCACGTCGGGCGCGACGCGCGAGATGGAGAGGTTGGTCCTGCACTCTCTCTTTCTCTCTCTCTCTCTCTCTCTCTCTCTATCTATCTATCTATCTATCTATCTATCTATCTATCTCTATTTCTATCTTATGAGAATGCCAAAGTGGTTGACGCACTTGGCGAAATGTCAATAAATGATGGAGGTAATCGTCCGAACGTCGTGTTAGTTAAGCTTCTCTTATCTCGTATCCGGACAGATCCGATACAAGCGTTGGCTGCTTTGCTCTTCGTCGTGTTTAGCGGAAAGTGTGACCACGCATCTACCCAGGGATCTTTCCGTATATTCTTGAGTCCTCGAATGTTGCTGCTGTTGCTAAATACGTTCCTCGGGAAATTCCCCTCGGCGCGGAAAACACGCGCTCGCTGCAGCACGAGAGAGAGAGAGAGAGAGAGAGAGAGAGAGAGAGAGAGAGAGCAGCGGAACTTTCGTGTCGGGGACGAATATATTAAATATCTACGCCAACTGGCAGCTCGAGACGTGAATTTTTATTACCTTATTTCATTCGGCGATATTCCTACCCATCTTTTTACATTCTTCGATCGTGTCGAAACGCTTTTAAGTCTGCGCAGCCAATACGGCGTGGACTTTGCAGAGACAAGCAAGCGTTTCGCCGGTGAAACTTTCAAATATGTCTCTCTCCTCGAGAGAAAATATAGGATGGGAAAATATAGAACAGGTGGTGCTCGGCGAGAAGAGCAGCCCGAGAGCGCTGAACGATGAATTTCGCAAATGCCTGTACAAGGCGACGGTAGAGTCTTCTCACGCGACTCTATTGTGATCGGCGGCTTGGGCGCTCCGCCATTTTAGGGAAAACGGTGCCTGAGATGTATCAATATATCGAAGCGCGAGGCTACGAATTGCCGGCGATTGCGCTCGCACGCGTGCCCCCTCCTAACGAGTGTCCGTTCTTTCTGATTGCAGAGTCCTGGAACGTTGCACAAAGATGTCGGCGGCGCTGGTACGAAGGTCAGCGAGAAAACGGTCGGCGGTGTCGGCACGGCGACCCTCACCACGCTCTCCTCCATTAATAACGCGTCCAACACCGGCCGAAACAAAAACAACCCCGTATCTCACGAGGTAAGCGCGTCTACGGGGGAGGCGAGCCATATCCCTCCAACCCCGCGCGTATTGATCACAGCCAGGCAGCGATACGTCATCCGCGGGTCCGCAGATGACTCCGATAATTAACCGGTCCTGCGCCTGAATTTATTGCCCATTAATCGGTTTGCATTCACCGGCCGGCCGCGAGGAATCGGCCCGGCCTTTCCGCTTCGCGATATCATACCGTGTACGCGCGTGTGTGGGTGTGGGTGTGTTTGCTTGTGATCTCGGGTGTATGCATATGTACATCCGCTCCGTCCGTCCTTCCGTCCAGCTCGCGCAAGGCACATGACATTATTCAGTGCATGACTTATTGCACGCAGCGCCAAGTACCGTTTACAGTTGACAGTTCTACTTTTGCCTTTGTCGCGCGGTCTGCCCGCACAAAAGGACAAGGAGAACCGCCGCGCCCCTTTCACCTGGTCGGGAGTCTAATTGTCGCAAGTGCGCTTCCTCCGGCCGGGCTGTTGAACCGCCTCTCAGTTGCCCCCCCGGCTCCTTGTGTCGAATGATGATTTTCATCATTTTTACATATTTCTTTCCGTCGTTTCAACGAAACTCCGACGCCTCCCGATCGAAATTATGGCCCCGTCTTCGACTTGAACTCTTTAACGTTTGTGGATTTCTTGGGGGATCAGCGAGGATTTAAATGTTTGTGTGAAAGTGAGAGGAGGTCCTCTGCTTAGAGCGCTTCTGAATTGCAGAGAACGCAATCTGCCACTTGCAGATTCTCGAGAGGATTTTTCTCGGCAAAGCTATGGCTTAAATAAAATCAAAGCATTAAATTAGCGTTGATTGGAGCAGTGAGATCGGAAATAGCACGAAATTTTCGATTCGGCTACGTGCTAATCAACGATGATAGGCACCGGAATGATCATATTTGGTGGAGATATACAGAGTGCTAAATTTCAAACGTAAGTAAAAAATTTCGAAAACCACGAAAGATATTAGAAAAAGCTGAAACACGTGTTCTATGATTTCGAAAGGGAAAGAGAATGGCATTATCAGTTTTTTATTTGGAGGGCATTTTCAAGGTCAGTTGAAGGTCAACTTAATTTTTTCAAATAGAAAGCCCAATTTTGTATATCTTCTTTTTCTACCAATTAATTTTAACAACTTTTGTCTGAAAAATTTTTTTATTTGCCTAATCTTTTTTTTTAATATTTCGAGATTTTTTACCTGTTACGTTTGAAATTTAGCACCCTGTATAACATCACACCTTCAACGTGCGACAAGAATTCATCAATAACTTTATTATACAGGGTGTCCCATTTTAAATGAGCCGGGTAAAAATATGAAAGATACTGAGAAACGTTTCAGACAAATGTTGTATGGTTTCAAAAGAGATATAAAACAACTGTATCATTTTACAGATGGCGCCACTTTCGAGATATTCACTTTCTGATCATTACTTTTCTTAAGTCGGCGTTTCTCAGTATTTTTTATATTTTTCGAGATTTTTGCCCGGTTTATTTAAAATGGGACAACCAGTATTTTTAACCTTTTGAGTGAGAGCTGAATACTCTCGGCCGAAACGCTCCGGCACGGCTCCAGCAGCTGCGATTGCTGAGAACAAAATACTATTTCGCGTAGTGTGGACTCTGCTGATTGATTATACGAGACGTAACCAAGAAATAATTGTAATTCTTCAATTACGCCAAATTAAATAATGCAAGAGACGTATTTTCGAGCATAAATTATTTTATTAGAATCATTAAAATTTAAAACATGCCCTAATTTGAAAATATATTAATAAGTTTGAATATTTGGACTTGATAAATATAACAAGAAATATGAAAAACTTTAAACTTTGATTTTAAACAACAAAATATTTACTTTTAAATCACATAAATACCTTATACCTATACAAGATTCATTTTGCGAAAAATAAAACTTTTATATATATATATATATATTGATATAATTAAAATTGTTTAATTATTTTGTAAAAAAGTTAAAACCATCTATATCAAATCCACTAAAATTAATAGTTCATTTAGGTGAATCTCAGTACAGTTATCAATGCACAAACCGACATTCGTATCGCTTCTTTTTTTTATATTTTTAAAAAACGCATTTTCTTCTTGCTAATCGTGCGTTGCTCGTTTGATCCGAACATTTTGATACAAAATATCTATCCGTTGAACGAAACAGACAGAAAATAGCTGATATAAGTGGAATTTCTTTTCTTATTTTTGTTTATTGTTACTGTTAAGGAACGTACATGTATTCATCTCATACACTGATAATTGTCAGCGCAGTACGCGTGAGATCGAAAAAGCTGACAATGCGCCCCTAGCAAAGGGTCAACTGCCGCATCTCTTCCGTCTCTCATCGCGACGTCATCAGGCCGAAAGTTTCAGGTTCTTGAGAGCAAGAATAACTCTACGAGAATCTACATTAAGAAAACTTTCTAGGAGAGGAGGGCCGCCTTTTAAGAGAGAAAACTTTGGGCAAATTTGTAAGTTAAATCGAACGAAAATAGGTCGTCGGTGCTTAAGAGTTATCGAATCAGCGTTAGATAGATGGAGGATCGAGGAAGAGGTCGGAAGCGGCGTCAACGTTTCGACACGGCTTGTCTGCGCGCGCGGACGAGCTAGCGCAATTAACCGCAGCGGAGCGTCGAGCAGCATCCGCGCGAGCCGGGACGTCGCCGTTACTTCAGCGGCTTTGTTCTCTCGTCGCGAGACGAGCGGAACCCGCGAGGTGAAAAAGCCCCCCTCCGTCGCCGATGACGCGATCGGCAGGATCGTTCGCTCGCACGCGTCGGCCGTTATCAGCACGTCCGCGTGCCGCCACACAATGTGTGTACGCGGGCCGCGCATGTAGGATTTTATTGGCCATTGTTAACGCCGCGGAAATTGTTGCCGGCTCGCTCGCGCTCGCGCTCGCGTGTGTGTTTATCGGGTATCCGCATAAATTTATAGAGTAGAATTCGCCTCGTCCTTTTTCTATCGCGGCGATCGCCGATCGCCGAGAGACCCGCCGCCGCCGCCACCACGGCTGCGCCGTATTTTTCTTAACGGTTTTACCGGGGATTTACGGGGCGCGGGGAGGATTCGCGTCGTCGCGCGAAGAAAGGAAGAACCGGCCTCTCGTGCGACGCTACTCGGATGGAACTAATTGAAAATTGTTGCCACCGGCTACCTGTTAGGTCGCGATAAATCGTGTCTTTGGCGTCGGCAGCTCGCGACCTCCCTCCTTCTCTTTCTCCCTCCCTCCTTTCCTCTCTCTCTCTCTCTCCCCCTCTCCTCTCTCTCTGTCTCTCTGTCTCTCTCTAGCTACGATTGTCTTGTTCCGTTGCGGTTTCGACGAAGGGCCACGCCGCGAACGAGCTTGAAAACTGCGCGAAACGGTACTGAATTTCTTGCGCCCGATTCCACCGCGGACGTCTCCTCGTATTTCGCGCCGGGCCGCCGCGGTGGGCGCCGTTATAGAGAAGCTTGAATGCCCGAACCGCAGTCGATACCACCTTGACGTTAGAACTAGCAACGATTAACGATCCGTTTCTATCACGGCTATCGACGTGTATCGTTTTTGTGCCGTGCGGGCGAAGCAATCCAAGCAGCTCCGAGAGCTTGCGGATGCCTCGCCTCTTGTTTGCGACAAGGTTAAACAAAGGGATAAATAAAGACATGGCAGACATACGGCGAGAGAAGACAAAATAAAAGCGAGCGGCAAACATGTTCACTTGTGCTTTTTTTACACTTTTCTTTCAACGTCAATTGAAAGTCAATTGAAACGCATCGTCATCAATTGGAGCGATTTTAGTTGGGTATAATAGCTAATTCTCTCCGATGAAATTTACATAACTCAGAGCGAAATTTGAAATTGAGATATTCTCCCTCGCTCTTGTGCGGTTTTAAAATGTTGACATTTAACTTTTCGACATGACATATGGTTTGATGCACATAACCTCAAATAATCAATAGTGTTTACGATGGCTACCAATAAAGAGCATATTTGATACGCGATACATTTCGGATTTTAACAAAACGCTTCTGAAACAGTGAAAATGATTTGCACTGCTTGCGGTGAAAATGCCGTGATCGATCGCACGTGCCGGAATTGGTTTGAACATTTTCGAAGTGATGATTTTGATCTTTACGACCGACCACGTCCCGGTTAGCTAAAAAAATTTGTGGACGAGGAGTTGCAAAATCGACTGAATGAAAATACGGCATAAACACAACAAGAACTTGCGGAAAAGTTGGGAATAAGCCAAAAACCTATTTGCGATCGTTGACATCACATGAGGGAGATACCGAAAGAAGGGAAGTGGGTCACACACGAGCTATCGACAACAAAACTCACCGATTAACCGTATGCGTTATTTTGCTCGCCAGCGACGAAAAGAAAAAAAGATTTTTTGCACAAAATCGTAACTGATGACGAAAGATGGATCACGTATGAAAATCTTAAACGCAAAAAGTCATGGGTAGACTCTGGTCAACCGATAACGTCGACAACAAAACCCAAACGTTTTGGAAAAAAAGTTCTCTGCATATGGTGGGGCCAGAAGGGTGTGCTGTACCATGAGCTCTTGGAATCGGGTGAAACCATTAAAGCAGAGATTTACCAAGAGCAATCGATACGTTTGAGCGATGCAATTGAGGAAAAGGCCATTTACTGGACAAGGCAGCCGTAAAGTCATCCTGTTGTACGACAGTGCTAAACCGCATACAGCAGAAGCCATAAAGGTAAACCATCTTACACTCGAGCTGGCAAGTTCTCCCACACGCGGCGTATTCTCCAGACTTGGCTCCATCAGATTTTCACTTGTTTCGATCGATGCAACACATATTGTCTGATACACATTTCTCGACAGTTGACGACGTACGAAATTTCATCGATGACACTTTATGGCCTCGAAGCCGCCAAGTTTCTGTCGTGACGGGGGATTCGGCAACTGCCCAATAAATGGCGTAAGGTTATCGATCACAACGGGAAGTATTTCATTGATTAATGTTGTTGCA